TTAGATCTTTCTGCAAAATAACAATTTTCTACTTCAATTATAAGAAACAGAAGGCAACTAGAAATTTAATTCAGTTCTTAATAATTTTAACACGTTGAAAATAATAGATTGACATTCATAAATTCTTTTATGCTCATTACTGTTTTTACTTACTAACTTGTCTCATAAATGCCCATAAATTGACCAGACATTTTTAGAACAACTATTACATTTCTCTTAGCAATTTTCGCCATTTATACATGCAGTTACCATTTATACATACAGGTACCATATTCACTCAGCTGGGAAGTATCGCACTAGAATTTTTCTAAAAATTCAGATGAAATTAATTAACATAGTATTATGTGTACAATCGAAGTCTACAATACCCAAAGATTTCAAAGAAGTTAAAGCAACTCCGTGTTTCTATCTTTTATGCAGTACAATAAGCGAATACTAATATAAAGAATATATATATTTAATACAAATAACAGACCCCAGAGAGAGGATACCAAGCAGGATAAAAAAAATACTTCAAAGTAGCCACGCTTTTTTCAAACGTCACAAATCCATGGATCACATTCACTCGAAACACACATAAATCTTCAACACGCAACACTACAGTTCTTAAAAGTAAAACATACAACGTTTTTGTTAAACATATTCCTAACATTAGAAACTGTACACTAGAGATAATACCAATACAATCAACAGAAGACTCCGACAACATCTATGCGATAAAGCAGAGTTGGAAATTATTCGAATAACATTTTGAAGAAATTTTTCGAATAATATTTTATTCGTATAATATTTCAAAGAAAATTTCATTCGATATATTCGGAGAATTTATTCGTAATATTCGAATGAACGAATATTATATAATTATAATAATATATAATAATATAATTCTAATTAATTCGAAAAATCTGTTCGAAATATTTCTCGAATAAAAAGTTTTTCAACGAATTTATACGAAATATTTTTCGAATCAAATTCTATTCGAAGAACTTATTCGAAGAATGCCCAATTCTGCAATAAAGGATACACATTGATATTCACGTCTCTCCGTTTCTTCCTCAGGTGATGGTAACGAACGTAACATCCTTACTGAAGACGGTGAAGGCCGTGGAGGACGAGCACACGCGCGGCACGAGAGCTCTCGAATCAACGATAGAGGCGATCGCCCAAGAGATCCGTGCCCTGAACACGCCGGAGACCCAGAAGATGAACGTGACCCCGGAGGACCTGGTCCGCTGCACCAAGAGTATCACAATGTCAACAGGAAAAGCAGTCGCGGCAGGAAACAGCTGCAAGCAAGACGACATTATCGCGGCGGCGAACATGGTGCGCAAGGCCATCAGCGACATGTTGACCATCTGCAAAGGCGCAGCGTACAATTGCGCTGAGACGGCCGAGCTCAGGGACAGGACTCTCCAGGCTGGCCACGATGTGGCGATGAACTACAGGGAACTGCTGCAAGCGATCCTGCAGATCGCCTCCAGGTCTGGAGATGCTAAGCACACTCTGGTGCCGATATCGAGGAAGATCGCTCAGAGCGTGACAGAGCTGGTAGCTGTGGCAGAGTTGCTGAAGGGGAATGACTGGGTGGACCCTGATGACCCGACCGTCATCGCGGAGAACGAGTTGCTGGGTGCTGCCGCTAGTATTGATGCTGCTGCCAAGAAGCTGGCTAGTTTGAGACCACGAAGAAGTATTCAGGTGAGTTTCGTTGATTTTAGTTTTCGCGAAGTCAAGAGCTTTCATTTTAATTTAGGAGATGAAGTATGATGTTCTGAAAGAGTGGATAAAGCTTCTTATTGGCTGGTGACTCGTGTCATGTTGACATATTGCAGGATATTTTAGACAGTTTGATCGCGCTTGATAAGAATTTCAATAAATCACTTTAGCTGCTGACGTATTGAGAATTTTCGTTCGATTTCTTTTCGGTTTCTGATCATAAATTGTTCGTTCAATTATAATTTACTGTCAGAAGACATTACATTTGTAAAATACTGTGAATGCTAGAAAGTCTGTGAAGTACTATACAGGATGTTCAATCTAAAACAGGCCAGCCGAAGATATTTTCTAACTGCAACGTCATGATAAGTGTTTCTCGAATCTGGAATCTCATCTGGAATCAACTGCGTGGTAATTTTAACATCATGTAAACAGATCATGTCATTATGCTGAATGAATATGTCAAAACAGATCAATAGGTGGCCTGTGTTAGATGAAAGTCCTGGTATATTATAAAATAATAGAATTCCCCTTGAAAATATGATAGATTAAAATATTAAGCTGCGAGACGATATGGAGGAAAAGCTGTAATCTACAAATCTTTTGATAAGATGTAGGATAACGTGACTACTAAAAAGTAGCTGATAAATATTAAAAATTGCTAAGGTTTACATATTGTTAATATAATTTAATGCTTTTACTATGTGTGATATTTTATTTTGAGAAATTGTTAACGTTGCGAAACAATTTCACAGTTTGAACACGAAAGATTTTCACACAATTGAACAGCTGACATTATAAATGTTATGGTTTCTACTGACACTGTCAGTGACAATATTGTTGAACGAAGAAGACGGACTGGACTACTTTCTCTGATTTCCGTAAGATATGTTTGATATTCTTGGTTGTTTTTAACAATCGACCAGGAATCAAACATATTATTATGGCGGTCGGATTAATCGACGAATGTTCATCGAAGGTAAGGTTTAAATTAGTTGTAGGTAAAACTACGAGATTCCATTTCAATGCAAATCAAACTGTGAGCTAAGAGTGGCTCTTTATCGTGCACATTTTTCAAAACTTACTATATGTATATACAAAATAATATCTAGATTTTGAAAAAATATATTTAGAATTTTCGACCTCATACGACCAAACTTGTTAAATAAAATGTTTGATTTTCAATTGATCAATACATTTGGCGTAGTAAATTACTTTTTTTAAAAATATGATCACAAGCACTATCTATTAACGTGTAATAAATGCACTACTCAAGATTTTAATCACCATTATTCAATGAATTTGAATGAATGATTATTAAAAAATTTTAGTTAATTTTGAATCGATTATTTTTGTTCAACTTTTGCTTCAGTACATATTAAAGTGGAATAGAAATAGAACAGAATTAAAATTTCATTTACATAAATAATTTATTAAAATTGCATTATTTGAGATTAGCAAGAATTAAATAAAACACTGATTATACAAAATTGATTTTTAACTAATTGATTATGTGTATAAAATGGACATCTGTCATGACTGTTAGTGTACTCCAAGTTTTCTCTTTTGTAAACTAGCCCATAAATTTTTGTACATATAATTACGTTTAAAATATGTAAATCCATATGTTAGGGTACAGAGTATCGAAATCTTAGACAACTTTCTGATATCTTCATAAAAACAACTAAAATCTGTTAAAGAAATTACAGAAATAAATCAACAACTTTAAAAAAGTCACCAACTCCTCAAATTATTAACTCTCAATTCTTTATTTTACAGGAAGCCAACGAAGACATGAATTTCGACGAAATGATCCTCGAAGCGGCAAAGTCGATCGCAGCCGCAACATCGGCCCTCATCAAAGCAGCGAGCGCGGCGCAGAGAGAGTTGATAGCAACAGGAAAGGTCTCCAGGACACCTCTGACAAGCTCCGACGACGGCCAATGGTCCGAAGGCTTGATATCTGCCGCGAGAATGGTCGCAGCCGCGACGCACAGTCTCGTGGAATCAGCGAACGCGCTGGTCCAAGGCGTCAGTTCCGAGGAAAAGTTAATCTCCAGCGCGAAGCAGGTCGCCAGCAGCACTGCACAGTTATTGGTAGCCTGTAAAGTGAAAGCTGATCCGGATAGTGAGAGCACCAAGCGTTTGCAAGCAGCTGGAAACGCTGTGAAACGGGCTACCGACAACCTGGTAAGAGCTGCACAGCAAGCCATCCAACAGGAAGAGGACCGATCGTTGATCCTGAACCGCAGAATGGTCGGTGGCATCGCTCAGGAGATAAACGCGAGGTCGGAAGTGCTGCGTATCGAGCGAGAACTGGAAGAAGCCAGAGGTAGACTGACAGCTATTCGCCAGGCTAAGTACAAGAACCGACCGGACTTGGCCGACACCGACAACGAGGGCGAGCAGAGTGGCTACGAGAGCTATACTACGAAGTACGAGACCAGGGCATACGATGCTCAGTCGCAAATGAACCACAACTTGGACCAGCTGCAATCAGCGACGCACAGCATCAGCCANTGTTAAATAAAATGTTTGATTTTCAATTGATCAATACATTTGGCGTAGTAAATTACTTTTTTTAAAAATATGATCACAAGCACTATCTATTAACGTGTAATAAATGCACTACTCAAGATTTTAATCACCATTATTCAATGAATTTGAATGAATGATTATTAAAAAATTTTAGTTAATTTTGAATCGATTATTTTTGTTCAACTTTTGCTTCAGTACATATTAAAGTGGAATAGAAATAGAACAGAATTAAAATTTCATTTACATAAATAATTTATTAAAATTGCATTATTTGAGATTAGCAAGAATTAAATAAAACACTGATTATACAAAATTGATTTTTAACTAATTGATTATGTGTATAAAATGGACATCTGTCATGACTGTTAGTGTACTCCAAGTTTTCTCTTTTGTAAACTAGCCCATAAATTTTTGTACATATAATTACGTTTAAAATATGTAAATCCATATGTTAGGGTACAGAGTATCGAAATCTTAGACAACTTTCTGATATCTTCATAAAAACAACTAAAATCTGTTAAAGAAATTACAGAAATAAATCAACAACTTTAAAAAAGTCACCAACTCCTCAAATTATTAACTCTCAATTCTTTATTTTACAGGAAGCCAACGAAGACATGAATTTCGACGAAATGATCCTCGAAGCGGCAAAGTCGATCGCAGCCGCAACATCGGCCCTCATCAAAGCAGCGAGCGCGGCGCAGAGAGAGTTGATAGCAACAGGAAAGGTCTCCAGGACACCTCTGACAAGCTCCGACGACGGCCAATGGTCCGAAGGCTTGATATCTGCCGCGAGAATGGTCGCAGCCGCGACGCACAGTCTCGTGGAATCAGCGAACGCGCTGGTCCAAGGCGTCAGTTCCGAGGAAAAGTTAATCTCCAGCGCGAAGCAGGTCGCCAGCAGCACTGCACAGTTATTGGTAGCCTGTAAAGTGAAAGCTGATCCGGATAGTGAGAGCACCAAGCGTTTGCAAGCAGCTGGAAACGCTGTGAAACGGGCTACCGACAACCTGGTAAGAGCTGCACAGCAAGCCATCCAACAGGAAGAGGACCGATCGTTGATCCTGAACCGCAGAATGGTCGGTGGCATCGCTCAGGAGATAAACGCGAGGTCGGAAGTGCTGCGTATCGAGCGAGAACTGGAAGAAGCCAGAGGTAGACTGACAGCTATTCGCCAGGCTAAGTACAAGAACCGACCGGACTTGGCCGACACCGACAACGAGGGCGAGCAGAGTGGCTACGAGAGCTATACTACGAAGTACGAGACCAGGGCATACGATGCTCAGTCGCAAATGAACCACAACTTGGACCAGCTGCAATCAGCGACGCACAGCATCAGCCAGCTCTCTGTCGACAGGCAAAACTTGGTCAGCCCCGAGAAGGTTCACTCTACTCAGAGCACTTTAGAGCGAAAGATGAAGGACAGTCAATATCGATCAGCTATGGAGAGTCAGTATGGGTCGGTGGAGAAAAAGTTCAGCGAGAATCAGTATGACAGAAGGTACACCCAAGAAAGTCCCTACTCTATCGACAAGAAGTTTATCGCTGAGAGTAGCCCAGGCCAGTTTAGCTCAATCGAGAGGAAGATCAATCAGGAGAGCTACGGCTCTATGGAGAGAAAACACATGGAGGGTCCGTACCCACCTGTGCCTACCATGACGTATGCCCAAGTGTCACCCACGCGCAAGGTCTTCCAAGAGCAACAGCAACACGTTTATGATAAGTATTCCCAGGATCTCTATTCTAACGACGATCGGTCTTATGAGCAAAAATCATACTCGCCAAGCCAAGAGCACAAGTATTACACCGATACCGTGGACAGATTCTCAAGTCATAGTCCATTGAGCACCTTCCGGTCGGATAAACACGAGCCACAACGTTTCAGTGGCCTTCCCCAAAACCAGACCTTCAAGAACGTCGAGACCAAGGTGGTTCCTGGTAGCAGAATAGAAACTATCACGACCAAGGTGTATTCGTCAATGCCTGGAAAGACCTCCACCAGCTCGAACTTCGAATCCACGGAGGAAACTAAAGAGTACGCAACTTCCGGCAACGAGTTGTCCACGTTCAAGGCTGTCGATAACGATTCGCTCGAGGAACGCATGCTGAAGCAGTCGAGGACGCACAAAGTCACCGAGAAGAAGACGGTCACTATGACGACGTCCAGCAGGCAGGAGTCGAACACGAAGACCTTTCGATTCGAGGAGAAATAATTAGGATCAGAGATGACAGAACAAGCATCTCGAAATGGATTGCTCTAGATTAGGTATAGTGTTCTTCCTCACGCTAAAGTAGCATGGAGACTGCGTCAGCTTGGCTCTTCGATGCACAAATGAGCTAATATGTTTGCGATTAGGTTCTTTGTAATATTGTGTACAAGGGGGACAAATTTTCCCCAAACGAAATGTAATTGTTATTACGCATTTGATATGACCAGCTGCGGTTATCCGGCGATGTCGATTTCAACGAATAGTTTGAGGTGTTTCATTCAGCATTTGAACATCGATCGTTGATATTCTTTCTTGTTTGTACGATAGATGAGACCGAGCACTGTAAAGCTGCGTCTCCACTGAAGCAAATACGAGTTATTTTCATGTTCTAAAATATTATTAAGAAATACTAACTCGAAACAATTTTGTCCACTCTAAAACAACGTATAAAGGCTGGATTTTTTAGAAGATTTTCTTCTTGCAACTAGAGGCAGAGAGAAACAGAAAGTTTTTGCACAACTGAGCAATCGAATCTTTCATTTTTCTCTCCACGAGCCTTCTACTGAATCTTTGCATTTATCACTTTCGCCTGAAATATATCTATTTCTGCTGTCATATGTTTCAAAATGTACTTCAGTTTTCTTTTATTGGCCCTGCTTCGAATAGAAACAGACAACACGGAAATGGCAATATTTTCTCAAGAAACATAAAACATCAAGAGAAGTTTCTCATTGTTGCTTCAGTGTAAGCAGGATTTAGAGTTGCTGACTATTCTCATTCTAAACGCATGGTCGTATCATGCCAGAATTTTTATGTAGTTTTTAACAAGAAACAACGGCCAAAGATTGACAGCGATACCTAATTCGATCTACTTTGCCGATGCAGAGAGGATTAGCTAACAGTGGATGAAGTTTCGAATTTTTCAAGTTAAGTATGAATTGGGTGCTGATAAATTTTGTAATCGACACTGTCCGCGCTTAGAGAACGATAGTAATATCAATTTCTAAGATCTTGAAGATAGTAAAGAATTTTTAGAGATATAATATGACCTTGACAGGTAGAACTATAGTCACTTAGCACACAACGATATGGACCCTATTGTCGTGACTTAGTGATGGGTTTGACTGCTTGGGAACTGTGAGAAGTCAATTAATTTCCAGTTTCAAATTGAACAGTTAAAAACGTCCTACTCCCATAACAGAAGTGATCGTTTTTTACTACTTTACATGTTTTGTATTTGCTGCTAGACAATCAATAATACAGATTAAGAGATGAAAGCAAATCACGTTTACTACCAAACCTCGTGTAATATAATTGATACTGAAAAACAAAGTAAACATAGCTGAAGTGTAAAACTCTGAATGCAATAATTTGACGGGTAGGATTGTTATGTTCATTGGAAACTTATGGAATAATGTTACTTTGAGTCACGTGTAATACGTCAATTATATTGATTCATTTCAAATGCATTAGAATCAGAGATGGGCATAATTTAAAAATATAATTATTAAGTTGCTATGATATGCAAACAAATGAAATGTTACTGTAAATAGCGAACGAAACCTCAGACAAACATAATCTTCATCATCTAGCTTACTCGTTTCTGGATACAAAATCGATCAAGCAAAGCTGATCTTTTATTTTTAATTATATAGAAATATATAATATTTTAAAAAATTCTTTTTAGTTATATTTCATAATAAAGCTTAGCTATTTTCAGCAGCCTTGCAATGAAGTACTATTTTAACAACTTTTAACACTAAATGAAATATTTTATATCCATCGTACTATGGAAAATTTTAGATAAAAATTGTCTACTTGCCGTTTAATATTTAAAATACTGTTTCACACATCTCTGGTTAAAATACATTTGCAGAGAAGTAACCACGGACTCCAAGTATCGCAGAAGGTGCCGTTTCGTAAAGGACCATCCAATTGTAAACTTGAGAGACTTTAATTATAAAAATAATTTATTACTTGGCTGCGGATCTTTATGTAAAATGAAAATTTTTATGACAATTCTAACAAATACAATTGAACAACCTTTTTAAATCTTTTGATAACTTCGGTACAATCTTGTATTTTATTCACTAACTCTTGTCATACGTGCATAAAATCCGCAGTTTATTTATTACACTTAACAAACTGTTCTCGTACTTTGCTAATATTACAATGGATCATCCATGACTGTATTACTCACCTGGATGACATTGTCTCGACATGCCATTGCAAGAATGTGTTTGCAACAGAGCTTTTGCTAAGGAGAATCGAATTCTTCCCCAAAGTTCTTCTTAGCTGTTGAAACCTCGGTCAGAACAACATTTAAGATGTTTTGTAACAGATCCTGGAGAAGCTGGATTGCCATAAAAGCAGATAAAACCGCGAACTCTCTTGACAATAAATCAAGGGGTGAAGTAAATGGCATGAAATCCGCTAAAAACAGGTACTGAAATCTCAAACTCGAAAGTAGTAAAAAGTTACGTCCGCATCGTAAATCTAATTTAACACTAGATCTACGGAACTCACTCCAGTAGCGAGTTTCAAATGTTTTAATTTATGATTACGGCAGTTGCATTTGTGGGAAATTATTTTATAAATTTCTTTCTTTCGATTCTCGTTATGATATAAGTTGTGCAAAATCTAGACAAATATAATTATTTTTATAAAATGATATAAAACGGTCATCTTTATAGTGGTCCGTACTTCTAGTGTTAAATTTAGTCTCTAACAACGCCTTCGTATGATAATCTTCGTAACCGAACGATAGAGAAGTGTCCTTAGATAGTAATATGTGCTTTCGAAGCTAGCCTTTCTAAGAATAATTATCTGCCCGATGCAATGGACAATAACCGTCCGAAGAAGAAACGAATTCGAAGCACTTTTGCATTGTCGAATTGTATAATATTTATTTAAGATACTAAGCGAAATTTAAGGAAATAGTAAGCCTTGTGTAACATGTTGAAAATTAAATGGTCGTTTGACATTTCTTTTTTGATATCTCAAAGATTAGTTCCTTACTAATAAAGTAATAATAAAATTTTAGTGACGAAAAATGATTGAAACTCCGGTAACTGACAATCTAAAATAATATTGCCTTTTTATAGTTTTATGTGGTACTTGCTCAATCTCTTTTCAATGACAGTCATGCACAATTATAGATGCTTGAAAATAGTACCGATTTTAATTTATACAAAATGTGCGAGGATGTATGTAAAGTTTTAAAAAATCAGGTGAACTTTGGAATTATCTTGCAAATCTCAAAGCAGTGGTTTTTAATAAAACACTTTTAAACATTCATGTAATTGAAACTATATTAATTTTTAATCATTATTATATGGAATTTATCGTGAAATTCGATGATAGCACTATCGTGTTAAAACATTTGTGTAAATTCCATTTGTTCACATGTTACACGAGACCTTACTCCAAAGCCTTCCAATGCTAATTCAATTTTTATACGATCTAAAATCGGGTAAATAAACAAGTGTATGTGTGTATGTTCAATAGTATTTTATACCAAAATCTAAAAATACCGACACGAAATGGATAAATACTTTGATTCCAAACTTGTATAAACATTTTTATTGAAACTTTATAAAATTATGGCTGATGACATAAACTTCTTTGAAGAATGGAACTGCGTGAATAGAACATACTTCATTAATTACGCAAAAATATAAATGAACAGATAAAACCATAATTCAAATATGATATCCATTGCTTTTTACAAAAGAATGTCGACTTTCTCATCCAACAGAATCACTAACTTCACATTAAAAAGTCGCAATCGGTTCCGTCCAGTCATTTCTGAAAAATCATTTTGTAAAATCACTTTTTATACCATAAAATTTATACTGCAAAATTCTATCTATATATATATTTAAGTAATTTATATTCTTGAAATTCTTTAGAATGATCACAGTTGATTAGTGACCAAGTGTTTCTCTTATACAACAGAACGAATGTTCCATTAAGAATACTTCATTACTATAATATACTATTAAGCGTACACATAATGCCCATTTCCAGTTAGAGATACAACCCACATAAGAAACTTTATTAACAATTTTGACATGAAACATGAAAGTGAGGAATTACTGTACATAACAATGTTTCTACAAAGAAGACGACCTTATCTAAAAGCTTTTCTATGATTGTATAATTTTTAATACTACTTCTAAGCTATTACTAGGAAAGAAATTTTTACAAGAATTCGACGAGTAAGGAATACAATCGCCTGCCTGTTCACGGCTAAAACGAAATGCCTTTGTAAAAATGAAATAATAGCTGATGCCACCTCGTTGTTGTACGATAGGGGACTATCGAGAACCGCAGACAAGCCACGCCCGTTTTAATTTAGTTCTAATTTATCGTAATTTTAAGTTGGAAAACCACGGATTAACAAGAGAAGCAACATATCATTTAATTTTATTAACTTTCCGAGTTACCGTGCGGCGTCGAGCCACGGTTTCTACACCCTTCCCCTCCCACGATTAACATTTTCCGTTTTCGGAATTAACATTAATATTTAAGTCTTTCTTTGTTCTGAAGGTTATCAGTTTGCTTGAATCTGTGCCCTCTCTCACCTGTAATATGTCTCTCAGCTCCCTGCTGTTGCATGATTTTCATTTCCTTTTAAGGCGATTATCTGGTCTAGAATATCTTGGATTTTGAGATTTTTAAAAAGCAATCTGAAGATTGTTTTTCATTGATTCTTTGCATATGTATTTGCTTTTATTTGGAGTGTACAATACATTATTTTAAACTAGATAATTTAAAAGCAGTATTTCTTTGAACAAAAAGGCTTTTTAAGAAGTGTTTTAATTATTTTTTTAAAAGAAATTTGGAATTTTTCTGTATTGGTTGTTTGTACATATATTTGCTATTATTAGGAGTATACAAATGCATCTTTTCATACCAAAATATCTAAAACTAGGAGCTGCACTTAGAACAAGAAGTTCTTTTAAAAAAGAGGTGACCTAATAGCTGACATAATTGCTGTTGCCTTGATAATTTGAAATACAAAGAATGAAGGAACTATTTATTACGATGAATGTGGTTAATGACCAAAATGTATAAAATAATTTCATTATTAAGAACAAATGACAGACCTTGCAATTGAAGTTTCGTTCTTAATAACAAAAAATTGAGGAAAGTTGATATTTATTGAAGATGTTGGTTCAGACAAAACTAAAGTCATCTGCAGCGATGGTTTTGAATACATGTACTCGAAGAAAATACAACAAAAGATTATTTCGAAATTCTAGACCAGACTACTCCCTGGTACGGCGGTGGCTCGTTTTCGATGACTTCGTTGTCGATTCGTCGACTATATCCAGTCAGGACTGTCCAATTCGACAGACAAGAAAGTCAAACACGAAAAAAGATTTTATACAAAAATTATGTGCGCTTGTTTTTAGAAACGTTTATACATTCGGTATACATTTGTTTATACATTAAAGATTTATACGTTTATACATTTATAAATTTACAAAAGTTATTTGCGATTCTAAATTGAACGTTACACTCGACAAAATTTGATGCTTGTTTATATTTTATTGTTTAAATGGAGAAAAATGAATAGACTGTAGATCTCTCTATAAATTTACAATTTTATAAAAACTAAAACGAAAGAAAAATTTCTTATAGTAAAAGTAAAAATACGAATATTATTAATTCTGTTCGACGGTCGGCATTTTAGATGGAAAATTTAATTATTTATTGTTCGATTACCAATTGAGTTCGAATTTCTGAGCAGACGGATAGTGACAAAAGGATCTCTTACCGAGCTTTATTAAAGATTGGAGGAACGTGAATGTATAAAAAAAGAACTGTATTTTCAGAAAGTTGCGATAGGACAGTGTTGGACAGACCTGTCCCGAGTGATGAATTAGTGCAATTATTGTTAGCGTCTCGAGGGTAGATAAAGTGTTGTAAATAGGTGTTAAATAATCCACGCGACGGATTTGGCGAATTAAGAGGAAATACGTTTACGGAAACAGAAAGAAAATAAAGGATGAAAAGTGCCTAAGTATAATGAGCTGCCGCTTTTTTATATGCTCGTAGAGAACGTAGGTGATTTTCTTTTTTTAATATTACCAAAAATCGAATGCTTTATTAATGTCCGGTAACGCGCGATAATGAAATCGAAAAGAAAATCCGGCAATCCCTGAGCGTGAAGGAGATCGTCCCGACAAATCGAAGAAAAAACAAATTGATTATGAAACTTTTCCAGAGTGATGCATATTTATATATGGTGGTGCTCAAAAAAAAGTTTAAAGCCAGTGTTCTCTAATTGACACTTTCTTTTATTGCATTCACATTGATTAGTTTTTGTCATGCAGGTAAAAACAGTGAATATTCAATGTTTTGCATTAAAATTCAAGCCTTGAACGACGGCGTGTCTGAGTCCATTTTGACCCAGCATGTTGCCAATATCGTTCAACAATGAAACCCTTAATCATTCATTTAACATTAAACCTATCAGAGTCAAACTAACGGTTTCTCATTTTACAATTATGAAAATTATGAAGACCCTTTTTTGGGAAATGGTTGGATCAATTATGTGCTATCTTCTCAGTTGTATGAGACGATACATGCCACGATCACGTTTACTGCCCGGTAGGTTTAGTGATAAATTAAACGGAAATCGAAGATTCTAGATCAAGTACTCTTAAAAATGTGTTCGAACAATTTTATAAACAACTGCCGAAATGCAGCTAAGCCTTGTCACCTGTGCAATCGTGAAAGATCTTCGCTCTTCGATCTTTCCCATTTTCGTATACAGGGTGTTCCACAACTCCCGTTCCATCCGGTGAGGAGCGATCGCTGAGGGAATTTTGAAGAAACTTTTTTCTCAGCGAAAATGTTCTCTGTGGCTTAGCGAATAAATTATTAACAAGAAAACACGGACAGCGAACGAATAGTGGCGCGATAGCGAGCTCCGCACGGCATTAGGCGCGAGGGCGGAGCGCCAGCCGTACACGCTCTCTGATTGGCCCGTGATTTTCATTAATAACTTGTTAACGAAGCCGCAGAGAACAGTTTCGCTGAGGAAGAAATTGCTGCGAATCACCTCGAGGATTATCTGGGGCACTCTGTGTTTAATTATCTGGTTATTAGAATGCATTAGCATCGAGTTGTAATTGTTGCATCACCAGCTGTACTTTTAAACTTTCTTTTGACCGCATGATGCGTATGTCTGTACGTGTAGACGTTATTGCATTTAGTATCGAGTATTTTGAGAAGGATCGCCATTTGTATTTTAATTTTATATACGTGTATGCAGTAGGATACGGACTGGTGCAACCATATGTAAACTGGGATTAACAACGACGGAACCATTTGCATTGTTTTTATTGATGCGTCGAATCGGATCACGAGATGGTACTATTTTTCGTCCGACAAATTGAAACACACTCGATTTCAGTGTTCCTCACGAATCTCGACTTTGGCGGACTAATCCGACCCTTACTGTACCTATACATATAGGTGTGTGCCATGATTGTATAAGATTATATTATATACAAATGACGAAGATAATGAATTGTACCGAGGCAATTATACAATAGATAAATATATATATTAATATACATTCTATATAATATATATATGCATACCGTTAATATATTGAAAAAAGCAACGAGGGGTGTTTTACAGTTTTAACATTTGCAGAATATTGTTTTTCTTTAACAATTGGAATGCATACGCTGATCATGTTTAATCGTTACTTATAGTACAATCGATTCAGTCACAGGACTGTCTTATAAACATTTATTATTATTATTATTATTATTATGGAATGTTACAAGTTGTATTTTTATATTATATTATTATATGCTTTATTCTTATTATTAATTATTATTATTAGTTGTAGGTACAGCGAATGATGACCATTATATTATGTAACGAACATTATTTTATTATAATTATTACATTACAGCGAAATTTCACAAATATACATATTAACCATCTTACATTCAGGAAATAAAGAATTTTTAATCCTACATCGTTGTTTTCTTTGTGATGATCCGATCTGGGTACGGTAAATTTCTGAACACGAATTTTCAATTTTTAATTTTTTAGTAATTCGTTCATTTTTATGCGAACATAAGAATTCTAAAAAAATATTGTTATCAATGTTTTGTACCGTATAAAAAACACAGTCAACCCTTTATGCTTTACACTATGATTTCCTCATAACAGAATCTCAGACTGATTTGTTTCTTTATGTTTCGTTTGTTGCAATGTCTTCGTTATGAACCTCGGTAATATGAATGCAGCTCGGTGGACGTCGGCGTCGTAGTACTTGAGGCCCATCTGATCGAGTTCGCTATTGCTAAAAACTTTCCTCGGTTCCTTGAAATTCGTTTCCTGTAACAATCAATTTCCATGTTGATAAATACGAAGCAGAGTTCTATTTGTTTCAATGAGTTTGCAATCACTATGCATGAAACTTCCGATTTTGTATGTTAAATCTCAAACGTTTTTAGGATGAGCAAGTAAACATTAATAAAAAGCTAATTATATTATTGAAATACGTTTTCATTGCATGCAACTCAGTTTCTCAGCCACAATTTTTTAAAGCTCATGATCAATAACTAGGCTGCGAATAAAATACATAGAAAATGACTACGTTGACAAGAACATTTATTATTTTTACGGTATAAAGTAATGGAATTATTGACGAAGAAAATTTTTTCATGCAAAATTTGCATGCATCATTTTATAAAAATTATTTTTGAATCAATGAGCGGTTTAAGTAAGCGAATGTCTTTCAGTTAATTTTTAAATCTAACAATTTAAAATACAGAATACAGAGCAAACATTAGAAAAAATATTCGGTATTGTTATTTTATTTTTGACTTACTAACACTATTTTTACCGATCTTTTTTTACCAATTTAAGTGTGCGAATCACGTAATTTGGTCCATTTGGTGATAATAATATTAAATTAATATTTTCAAAGGCGTCTTTGTACTGTGTCGATTAAAAATGTTAAAAAGTGTCTTTTCACGTCTTCGAGAAAATAGTGGTTAATTAAAAATTGTAAATGTGTCTTGCGATCCTTTTGATAAAAATAGTTTTTTAATTGTTATACACGCTAATAAAGTTTCTATACATATACTTACAGGATTTAAAGTACCAAGTACGAAACCAATTTGTCCCGTAGGATACGTAGGTACAGCTGCGACTCCGTACGATGCAACTGGAAATACCGCCCTACAGTGTTGTAGTGTTTGTGCAACGTGTTCGAGATTTGCCCACGCAGTTCCTGCTTGACTGCAAACTACTCCACCAGGTTTCAATGCAGTTTTCATTAGACTAAAATATGATTCGTGGAACAGACACTCTGCTGGACCTGAAATGAGAAATGTGCCTTACAATATTTAATACATAACAGCATTAATATGTTGAATCACAATTATAATTATGATTACAATCTACAATTTACTCGAGACTCAATTTGCAAATATATATATAAAATTCTGAAGAATGTACTAATATTCTTGATACTTATTATATGA